CAAATTTGGTGACAACACGCTTGGCGCCAAATTGGAGCGAATTGGCGCCAAATGGCGCCAGCGCCAAAAGTGAAGGTCATATTCGTTATCAGGGCATCGGATTACCCCTATAGGCGAAGTTTCATCGAAAATTAAAATTTTGAGTTTTTGGGGTTGTAATAGTGGAATAGTAGCCATTACTGAAAGAAGTGGTCCCCTTCATCTTTTTCGACTGAATTTTCCGTTGCGCTCGTTCACTCCGAATTGCTAGTGATCTTGATACTAACCAGGAATACGTATAAGAAACGAACAGTGGGCGATTACATCAGATGCTCTCAGGCATTCAGGAATTTTCGGTGGTGTTTTCATTGAAATCCCTTTTCTTTTGCAGACGACCTTACATTGTGTATGGAAAGTGCTGCAGAAATCCTAAAAGCTCGCCTTTTTTCTACTATTTCGATTTTAACAATAATTTTGAACCATTCGGAGAGATCGTGCTTCGAGCAGTCTACTTATTTGCGGCAGACCTTTCTTTTCCTTTTTTTCCTTGAATTCATGGGTCATAATCGCGTCGACTCATGGTGACAGGCGTTTATTGCGGGTGTTGCCATCATTTCTATTATATTTCGTCAGTGGAAGTTTGCAAGAGTGAGCTGATATGTTTTGAAGGGGCTAGCCAAGGCACCTTGTTATCTGGGAGAGTAGAACGGTAGAATTCGTCGGGCACGCCCACCGTCTCGATCGTCTTCGACGTGCCTCTCATTGCCAGCCCGCTGTCGCTCGTCAACCACGTGCTTCCATGTCATCGTTATTGATTCGTTCATTAAATCCATCGATATTCGACCTTCGCGGCGTATCATCACTTACTCTTATTCGATTCCTTGTACTCTAGTATGAAGCTATCAGCTGCAGGAATATGAAGGCAACCATACGGTTGAGAACTAAAGAAATTGACTTCCCAAAACTGATCACCCATTGCATCCGTCCGTTTGCGAACTATGGGTCTTTTGTTTTCGGCAAATATTTTCGCATAGGAACTTCCCAAAAACGCGTCCCTCATATTAGTTTTTATTAAAATATTAATTGTTGAATGTACTAATTTATTATTTATTATTATATTTATATTCATCTTGATATCCTTCCTTAAACTTATAATGGTCTGCACAATTTGCTTTGGGTCTCTCTCTCTGCCTTACATTATATGATACCACTCGATGAGAACTTTTTAAACTTTTGGTTGTTTATAAGCTTATTCTGTAGTTTTGCAAACACAAATAATTATGTTTAAAGGCACGGTTCACAATGGAAACGGCCCTTAGGAAACCTCTAATGAATCTGTGGCGTCCCCGTATACCATACGTGGAGCTGTCAGATCGGTAAAAGGTCTTGCTAGGGCGTTATAAGGGGTCAGACACTGTGTCGGCTAAACGCCGCGCCCATAGCGGACGAGCTTCATCGTCGTTGGAGAGGCTGCACCATCTCATAGCAACTCCCATGCCTCCCATGTTGAGCATTCAAAGAACTAGACGTGACCCATGGCACAGTGAAATACAGTTTTGGACATTCTTGGCCTGTTGCAGTCAACTCTTTAAGCAATTGGAACAATTGAAATCTCGTCCAAATACCCCTTATATGCCACTCTCGTCGTGGTGGTCTCGTACAACATATATTTCTACTTTTGGAGAGCTATTTTTAGCAGACGAATTTTTTCGCCTTCTTCGCTTCTTATGCACTATTCTTACCAATAATGCCCTTTTTCATTCAAAGAAGGCGTTTTA